CCCCAAAGCCGTGGCCCTGGGGCGCCCCCGGGACAAGGCGTGGGGACGCCCGGCCGTCGGGGCGGGGTGGTCCTTGGGACCCTTCCAGGGCCTGGACGGGGCGGGAGGGAGTGGCCGAGGCGCGACAGTTAACTCTAGCGTCACGGTGCTTGTGTTCTTAGGTTAATTTTTCTTTTTTAAATTTTAAAAGCCTCTAACCCCAGTGCTGCTTCCCAGAGATGAGCTCTGGAAACCGTATGCCAAAGGCATTTCCTACAAATATAAAAGAACCTAGGCTTTGGGGCATTGCCTTCCCGCACTTGGCTGTGGCCCAGCGAGACAGGAATGGCCGCTTTGGGTCCTGGCCCCCGGTAATGGCCCTCAGCGCTGCAGGGAGCCCTCATGTGGGCCGCACCGAGGCTTTGGGTGTAGTAGAGACAGTCGCTTGAGGAGTGTATTGAAAAGGGCCCCTGAATGGACTCAGGGCTACTTAGGTACATGCCAAGTTCTGGGCGAGGACTGTTCAGTGGGGGCTTCTCTGACAGGCTGGTGAGCTGGTTCTTGGGGGCCTGACAGCTGGAGAGGTGGTGCCCCAGGAGGCAGGCTTCGCTCGACTGTCACCTCTAAGTCCCGGCAAGCCTGCACGTGCTCTGGCCAACATAATCTTTGTCCTCCAAAAGATGCTTGGCCATCTTGGGCTGTCACCTGAGGCTGGGAAGCCGTCTTTGACAGGCTGAGGTCCGTTGGCATCTGGGAACACTGGGATGGTTAACATTTGTTTTCTCCTCTCTTTTCTACACTTGCTTCTTTGTGCTTTTCCACTCCGAGCAGAATAGAGTAGTCCCTCCTGGGCCTACTGGGGGGTTCATGACTTAGCCCTGCTTTGCTTAGGGGGCCCAGAATAAAGCGTTCACGTAAGTGCAGACCGTCCTGTGTTGCTCCATCATTTAAAATTTTTTTAAAAGGATTTATTTATGCACACAGAACTGGGGTACAGGCCAGAGGTACAGGGGCGTGAGAGGATTCACCAGAGACAGTGGGGAGCAGAACAGGCCGACTGACGAAGTCCACTGCTGAGGGGGCAGTGGGGAGATGAGGGGTCTGCTGTGCCCTGTGGGTCCCTCCCTGGCTGGGGACAGAACTTGTGCTGAAGCAGCTGTGACCAGCTTTGTAGTGCTGTGCTTTAACACCTTGTGCCACCAGCGAGGGCCCTAAATTTATTTTTGTGTATGAGAATTGGGGTGTAGGGCAGAGGTCCAGGGGTGAGTCTTTACCAGAGACAGAGCAGAGAACAGAACAGGCAGATTGAAACCCACTGCTAAGGGAGCAGTGGGGAGACAGGAGAGGTCTGCTGCACCCTGGGGTCACTCCCTGGCAGGGATCACACTCAAGCCATCCTTAGGCCACTACCTGTTGCTCCATCTTGGGGGAATGTCTTCTTGCCTGTCACGTTCTCCACTTCCCCCTCCCACTATTGAGAGATGCAGTCGATTCCTAGTTAACATTTGCTGAGTGACGATACCCTACTTTCTGTCTCAGAGGCCCACTTTCCGTTTCTTCCCCACAACTTGTTTTTAAAACGTACGTACGGTACAATTCATTTTGGTATCTAGACTGCTGAGGCTTTTCCTTTGCGGCCCCACCCAGCCCAGACCCAGCTCACCGAGGTTCGGTAAGTCCACAGTCCTGTAGCTACCCATCAGGACACAGAAAAGTCTGTCACCCCCGGGTTCTCTCTTGCTGACCATCTGTGGCACCCCTTGCCCTGAGCCCCTGGTACTGTTGACCTCACCTCCAAGATTTTATTTCTAAACTGTTCTTTCTAGACTGTCACCTAAGTCACTCGACAGAGGCAGCCTTCTGAGTCTGGCTTCATCTGGGTCACACAGCAGTTGGAGACCCGCGTGTGTAACTGGTCATGGCGCTGGTCGCCGAGTGCAGTCCAGTGTGGGGTGCCAGCACTGGTTCCCCAGTTTCCCAGGTGTCTGTCTTCGTTTTCGAAGGATAGGCATACTAGGAAAAAGAGAGGTGCCTGCCTAGGCCGAGGAGGCAGGAGAGCCGCCTTCACGTTTTTCAAACAGCAGCCCGGACATCGCATGTCCCATCAGGCAGTGAGGGCGGGGTGCTGAGTACGCTCTGGAGGGCTGAGGAAGTGGCAGAGCTGAATTCTGATCCAGCTCCAAGTCCAGGCTTCTTTCTCCCTGCACCCAAGAGCTGATTTGGTTCAGCGACCCGATTAGCATTTCTCTCCTACACTCCCAAGAGACTGGCAGCCGCCTGAGCTCCTGGAGAATTCCCTTCCCAGAGGCCGGGGGCTGATGAAGGAAACAGACGTCCCCTGTGACTCACCACGGCTAGTCCTCCCTCCAGGACCAGCCGGGAGCTGCCCAAACCTCAGGCTAGTTAGTGAGGAACAGTTGCCTCAGCCCCAGCAGTTTTGGGGAGCAGTCTGCCGGGGTCACGAGCAGCCTGCCCTGCGGTGGGAGCCTGGCCCCTGGCATTGGGCTTCCAGGAGCCGCCGGGCGAGAACGCTAACCCCAGGCCTGCCTCCACAGCCATGTCAGAGCTCAGCGATGAAGCCAGCGAGCCGGAACTCCTCAACTGCAGCCTGTCCATGTGGCACGGGCTTGGCGCACAGGTCAGTCTGGAGGAGCTGGCCGTCCCCCTGGACCTTCACACGGCGGCGTCCATCGGCCAGTATGAGGTGGTGAAGGAGTGTGTGCAGCGGTAAGAGGCCTCGGGAACCGTGCCTTCTGCTGGGCCACCGGGCTCAGGTCCGGCGCCGAGCTGTCCAGAGGTGGAGGGGCCTGGGCCACGCGGGGCCTCAACCACATGGCGAGGCTGACTGCTGCTCTCGGGCCGCTGTCAGGACGCGGCACAGCAGCGCTTTCAGCTCCTAGGAAGACAAAGATGATTTAGACTTTTTCACAGACGTTTTTATGTTTCAGATCTTTTCTCTAAAGATTATTCATGCATATGAGCGCTGGGGTCCAGGCCAGAGATGCGGGGCTGAGAGGATTTCCCAGAGATGGAGCTGGGAGCAGAACAGGCAGATCCACTGAAATCGGCGCTGGGGAGCCGGGAGGGGTGTGCTGCGCCCTGGGGTCACTCCCTGGCAGATGGCACTGGCTTCCTAGTGCTGGGCCCCCTGAGCCCCCAGGGAGCCCGTTTCAGACTGATTTTAACCAGAGTGATTTTCTGGTTTCACTCACCATAGTCCAGCTTCCTCCGCCCAGAGGGCCCATCTGCACCCCAGGGCCTGGCGCAGGGCTCCTCTCGCCTGGAGGCCTGCCCCCAGAAAGGAGTGCGAGCGACAGCCGCGTCCCACCCGCCAGCCCCGGTGCACAGGCCCTGGCTGGCTGCGCCTTGCTCTCAGAGCGGGACCCCTCCAGGCCTGTCTGCTAGGCCTCCCTGCCAGGCCCCTGCGCTCGCTGCTGCCTCGGGGAGGCGATCTGTGCTGGCACTGCCCTGCACTTCTTCCCACTCCTGGGGCATGCCGCGGCACCTCCCCAAGCCTAGGCTTCTGGTTTCCAGGGCACAGCGGCCGCTGGTCAGGGCCCGGGGGGGGCAGGTGCCGTGGAGAGGGGCAGGCTCAGCCCTAGCCCGCTGTCCGCAGAGCCAGGGGCCTGAGGACGTGCCCAGGGCATGCAGCCCTTCCCAGGCAGCCGTAGTGGTCAGGAGCTGCTGCTTTGGCCCTCTGGGGCTATCGGCCTTGGGCCTGCGGTTAAGATGCGCATCCTGGAAGGGCCCTTAGCTGAGCACATCGTGGGGGCTGTTCTGACTGGCCGATTGTGGTGTTGTCTTGTCTCTGGCGGGGCGGAAGCTTGCTCCCTGCCAGCACGGGGGCCTGGGGGCAGTTGGAGGCACTGGAAGGAGGCCTGGGGGACTGCGGGAGCTGGGTTCAGCTTGAGAGCCTCAGAACCCTTTGGGCGGGGTCAGGCTCCTCCCTCGGGAATCCAGTGCCATCATAGACGGTGGCCTGGAGAGCCAGACAGTCTTTCGGGAAGGCTCTCCTGGCCAGTGCTGCCCCTGCGCCCCTGGACCAGCACCGTCGGGGCAGCTGCCCGGCCAGCCAGTTCCAGAGCCCGGAGCTGGTGCCGGTGGGTGGAGAGTCACGGCCAGCCTGGCTCGTGTGGGTGCTGCAGAGATGCTCAGGCTGTGGGAGTCGTCAGCGCCCCTCTCTGGCGACAGGACTGTGGAGGAGGCCTGGGGCGTGACTGCTGGTGGCTCCCAGAGGGGAGGCGGGTCCTGGGCCCACCCAGGCCAGGCCTGCGGGAGATGTGTCATCAGGGTTTTAGCGCCAGTTGGTGGGAGAGGTAGACTTTTCAGCCACAGATTTCTAAGAACGTTCCTGCGGGGTGAGCCCATTCCAGGTTGGGCCCCTCAGGGTCCCCCTCCTCTCCATCAGCACTGGGCGAGCAGCTCAGAGTGGGCAGAGGCGTCTAGCCATCAGCACGACCGCCGAGGCCTAACTTCACCGAGTCAGGGGGCCATGCCCTGCAGGGTGCTGAGCGGCTCCCCGGCCTCGCCCAGTAGATGCCGGTAGTGTTTCCTCCCCAGGGTGACAGCCAGTGACGGCTCAGACTCGGCCAAGAAGCCAGCCACTTCTCCAGCGGGTGGTAGCGGGGATGGGATGGAGGAGGGCGGGCGAGCACAGCCAAGGGCGGGAGGCCGCCTGGCGTCTGGGGCGGTGGCGGCGCCTAGCCGTGTCGGTTTGTTTAGGAGAGAGCTAGACTTGAACAGGAAGAATGGCGGCGGCTGGACCCCGCTGATGTACGCCGCCTACACGGGCCAGGACACCATCGTGCACCTGCTGCTCGAGGCGGGGGTGAGCGTGAACGTGCCCGCCCCGGGCGGGCAGACGCCCCTGATGCTGGCCTCCAGCTGTGGCAACGAGAGCATCGCCTACTTCCTCCTCCAGGTGAGCCAGCGGCCTCGGCCACTGGGGCTGAGGCGGGCGGCCACGGCGTCGCGGCTCCGGGTCTCCAGCTTGCCGGCGAGGGCGCTGCCGGCACGGAGTAGATGCGTCCTGAGACGCCCTCTCTGTTCTCTCGAAGCAAGGTGCTGAGCTGGAGATGAAGGACATCCAGGGCTGGACCGCCCTCTTCCACTGCACCAGTGCCGGGCACCAGCAGATGGTCAAGTTCCTGCTGGACAGTGGCGCCAACGCGAACGTGAGGTGATTGCCAGGTCCTGACAGCAAGGCGGGGGCCTGGCTTCGTCCCACCCGAAGAGGGCAGTGCTGGGGCCCGCCTGGCGCAGAGGGGCAGCGCCAGCCTCCGTCGGCGTGGGCTCGGGGCCCCTTCACGCCCGGGCCCACGGCGTGTTTCCTTTCCTGGGAGCCGGTGGCAGGGCTCGGCGTCCTCTGAGGCGCCGGCCTCACGCAGCGGCCCCTGAGCACGTCCTGCGAGTGAAGCTGGCCGGGCCCGCTCGCTGTGGCTGGCGTGCGGTCGAGGGGTGTGGGGGGAGGGGTCCTCGGAAGGTGGGCTGTGAGCACAGCGGCGGGCACCGAACCGGGTCCCCAGTCACGTTCGCTTGGTTGTTGGCGAGATTCTGCAACCAGCGAGGGCTCCGCGCCCCCAGGGCTGAGTCAGCACAGAAGGCCCCAGGGCAGGGCTGCGGCTACAGGACCCCTGGGCTCCCGGGGTGCTGGGCTTCAGGCGGGCCAGGGGCAGGAGACGGAAGCTTTCTGTGCCGAGGGAAAGTGGAGCTGGAGGAGCCAGCGGGGGAGCCGCCGGGAGGGCCAGGGCCAGGCGCCAGTCCGCAGCCTCCCACCGGCCGGGCCGCCCCAGGGAGCGCTCCCCGAAGCCCCCGCCTGTCTGCAGGGAGCCGGTGTACGGATTCACCCCCTTGATGGAGGCCGCGGCCGCCGGTCACGAGATCATCGTGCAGTGTTTCCTGAACCACGTGAGTGAGGCTCGGGGCGGCTGGCACTGCCGCGGCCTGTGCAGGCGCCTTGCGCGCCACCGAGGGCCCCGTGCGGCGGTGCCAGCTGTGTCTTAGCGAAGCTGTGAGGGACCCCGGTGAGTCCCCCCTCCCGGGGAGGTGCTGGCTCGTCCTTCCCGGCCTCCCCACCCCCGTCCTCGCCAGCCCTGGATGTCGCCCCTCCGCAAGGTTTGCCGGGAGAAGGGGGGCACCAGCGTTGAATTTGCACCCACCGGTGAGGTCGCGCGCGCCGGGCGTTTGCTGCCCCTCTGTCCGCCCGTGCCTCTCCCTGGTCGTCCTCTCCCGCCGTTCGTTCTTTCTCGCCGGTGGGAAAGTTGTAGTGCATCTCCGTGCGTGTCTAACGTGCATTCTGCCTTTTAAAAGAGTTTGGGGCAGCCTGGGCGGTGGCAGAAGTGGGGCTCCCCTTCGAATTCACTTTGCACGGGGGGTTAAGCTGGAGCTGCGCCCCTCGGCTGCTGCTGGGGCCCTGGCTGTTCTCTTGAAGTGGCTGCTTGCCGGGAGCGGCCTCGGGGTGAGAGCCACGGCCTTGCGGGCACCCCACTTCGCTCTGGTCCCAAGAGTGAGGGTGTGCTCAGGCAGGGTGCAGGCCTTGGGGGGGTGATAAGAAGCCAGCGCCCCGGGACCCGAGAGTGGCAGGCGGGGGAGGCTCCTGACCCCCATCTTCCACAGGGCGTCAAGGTGGATGCCAGGGACCACAGCGGAGCCACAGCCCGGACGCTGGCCAGGCAGCACGGACACATGAGGATCGCCGGGCTCCTCGACGCCCACACGCCGCCCCTGCCCAGGAGCCTCTACGGGGGCCCAGGTACCTGCCCCGGCCGGGAAGGC